AAAGTACTACTCACAATGCTGTGAAGGTATATAACGCAATTAGCGGGTCAAACTCAGTTTGAAATACCCCCCCCCACAAAAAAACACGAAGAAATGGGTACATTTGCCTAATTTTGATGAACTAGATGAATATGAATATGAATTTGGGGGGATATACTGTTTGAAAATTTGTGTTTCTAGGGCCTGCAAAACCCCATACGTTATCTTTGAAGAAAAAAACAGCAACAGAAAAAAAACAGGCCTTGAGGGCTTGGAAAATTGGTCCAACGTAATAAGGTGTAACGAAAGGAGACACATTGATGGGGGTAGGTAAACAGCGCAACCTGTCCTACATAAGAGCAAGAATTAAATACAGAGAAGGAAGTGTCATCGTGTCCGGAATCCACACATTACTAATATCTGCAAATAAAAAATCCGATTAGTTGCTACTTCCTCAACAATCATTCTTTGGTCAAATTGTCTTCACTCCTGTCCGTGCTGCATCACAAATACACTGCCACCGGTACATACCACTTTACGTATTACGTCATACATATGTCATCCAATCATTCGCTTGCTTCGTGTCAACATAGTAAATAACAAGAAAGGTTGCTTCTAACTGGTAAATTTTCCATACAACCAGGGATATTGTTTTACTTAAATAAAATAGGTGCCTAACCTTTAGCTACTTAAAATCCTTACATTCTACATGGATGTATGTAAATGTGGTAATTAGTTTCTTAAAAATAATTAATAAAAATCTAAATATACAGGGGTCGTCTACTTGACAGAGTTTCGTTCCTAGAATTCGTTGTAACGTGATTTTTTGTGTAAGTCGAAACGTAACCGTAAATTCACTTCCATTATGATGGCTTTCTTTTTCTTTGAAGCACCGCTATCAGAAGAGGTTAAACTATGCTTGAGAGTCATAATGACAGGTAATAAGTTTCCACAAACGAAAAAGAACGAATATACAACAATCCAATATGGTGTACAACCAGGAAACAAGATTAATTACTTTGCGATGGTTTAATGCAATTGTGAAATGGTTTAAATATTTGCGTCATTTTTTATCACAAACTTTTATTTTTGTTTTCTAAGGTAGTACCCGTAAAAATGAGGTAACTACATTTTAACAATTATACAATCTCCACATATATAAAACAGAATGTGTATGCGAATACATACATATATATGCGTGTGTGTGTGTGTTTGTGTGCGCACGCGCGTGGGTGCACCAGTGTATGGGTGTGTATATATATGACAAAGTGGGAAATGTTTACGGAATAAATTTATGTTGGTATGTCTGCACATGAGCAAGAGGGAGGGATGATGGGAACTTCAGAGTTTAAAAAAAGCTGATTTCATTTAGAGTCGTTTTCTTTTTCTTTCCATCACATTTATGTCAAAATTGTGGTTAGTCTCGTTACAGTGGACAACAAACGCACTTGATGCATTGTTTTGTAAAATGTCTCTTTTGTGATGATTATGCCGTATTTTATTTTGTTGTTATGATGAGAAAGAAATTTTTTAGGTCGTTTTGTTGGTTGATTTCCGGTAGACACCGAGTTTTAAACTTGTTAAACGCGGTGTAGTTTGATATCTAGGAAAGATAAGGAATTGTGTTCTTCCATTTCGTATGTAAATTCTATTGTGCGTTCGACTTAGTTTAGTTGATCTACTGGTCAGGTAAATCAGTATCACAAAGATATATAAGTAGAGCATCATCAATATATCGGAAGTATGTTGATTGTTTGGGTAAAATTATTTTGGAAAGGACCGGATTCGAGAACTTCTAAGAAGATACATGCTATCACTCATGTGACAGGCGATCTCATTGATAATGTAAATTTTTGATTGAAAAAATCATTATTAAATGTGAAATAGCATTGATTGGTGATGAGACAGCAGATTTCCATTGCTTTAGCTGTTGGTACATAGTGCTCTATGTTTGATTGTGTTAGAAGCCTTTTTAGGCATTTTTCAGCTGGGGATTAGCCTCGTATTTGTCATTAACTCGGCTGTCTGAATTCTTTATATGAGATGGGATGATTGTTCTAAGGAGAGGGGTCATAACGTAGTTCCTTAAGGGACGTGTAAATATTTTTTTACGAATTCATATATCCCTTAAGAAACTGTGATCCTGATCAATCCAAATGCATAAATAATTATATTGGATATACTACAATATGCCTAACAAGAATCCTAACGTTACATTACTCTGACCATAGCTCAATTAGGTCTCATTTAAATACACAAGGAGACTTACCAAATTCTATCCGTAACATATTAGTTGATAATACAAATATAATAGTTTCATCTACAAATAAAAAAAGGCTAAAAATAACGGAAGCATCATTAATAAAAAAGGAAAAGCCAACACTCAATAATATCAACTGCGTTGATATTATTGAGTGTATATAATTTCTATCTAATTTAGGTACAGAAAAGAAGAAAATTATAACAACATGTAAAATTGTATAAAAAAATTACCCAAAGTATCTTGTCAGTCGTTTAAATTAAAAATATATATATATATATATATATATATATATATATATATATATATATATACGTGTGTGTATATATATATATATGTGTGTGTACAGAGAAAATCCGCTGAATAATAGGACCCACAAGTGATAGAACTCAATAAATGCTTACCGATAGGAGACTCATGCGTCAATGAGTGCCCAGATGCTAATGGAACATGTCAATGTATAAAGGCAGGCACGTGCTGCGCCATCCGCAGCTGTAGCTTTTGGATAGTCTTACCCACATAGTCGGTGTCACACCGACACTTAAAAAGATAGGTAATAGAACTTTGTTGATTGGTGGGTAAGATATCCTTATGGATAGATGGGAAAGCACTCCTAATAACAAAGATGTTTCGTACTACTATAGAATTGAAGCAGTGTATGACAGTTGATGAGATCTTATCAGATTGACTAAAAGAGCCAATCCAGGACAATCTCATGCAGACGGGACACTTAAGTGGACAAAATGTTTTTTTTTTTAATTTCATTAAACCTAGGAAGTTAGAAATGTTAAAGCCTTCTACTAATGTTTGTTTTAATGACACCTTCCGGAAAACGGAAAGCACGATGAGTAAGCGTTTTAACAAGGTTAATTTTCCTACACTTAGGAGCGAAAGTGTCCCAACCCAGTGAAAATGGACTTCCTATATACGCTGGTGAGGAAAGATGCAGGAGTTCTCTCAACCAACACGTCCAGGAACGGTAACATATTATTTTGCACCTCCATTTTAAATTGTAAAGAGGTTAGATATATTCTATTTAGATATCGAAAAAATCCTATCTCGCTCGTTATGTGATGAAAAAGATGTAAAAGTGTCATCAACATAACGGAAATAGCAGTATGGTTTAGAGACCTTATCAAACAATTGCCTCTCATGAAACCCTACAAAAATAATAGACATGAGGGGCCCCAAAGGACTACCCATCGGTACCTTATCAATATGTTGATACATGTGGTTATTAAAGCTGAAAGAGAAAGACTTAGTATCCATCTCCATCAGCTCGACAAAGGCATTCTCAGCTAAAGATGGGGGCTTTAAGAAGACACTATACAAATAGCACACATGTCAACAGTCTTGTCAAAAGTTCCTTTTGACAAGACTGTTGACATTCGTGAACAGACTACAAATATAAAAGATACGGGAAACTCCGTGTCAACAGTGCGTTGCAATTTATGCATATCACACGCAAACTGGAACGAGTCTGGAATACCATACTCAGAATAATACTGTAAAAACAGGATCAAGAACTTCGGCCAATCACTTGGCTAACTCATGCTGGGCAGAACACACCATAGACGAAATTGGCCGAAGTGGAACTTTCATTTTATGAATTTTCGGCAAACAATTCATCCTAGGACGCTGGGAGCCAACAGGTCGAATTCTATTTTATACCTACTTTTTGAGGAATATGCTTTTATGAAATTCAAGCAAATCTCTTCTGAAATTTAACTTCCGTTTTCGCGGTGTCATCAAATGATGTATCACTGCATTTCCGAAATTTACTAATGTTGTCCAGTATAGACGACTTGTTATTTATATAATCAGAATAATTCAGAATCACAACACCAGATCCTTTATCAGGTCTGGTTATATAAATTTCAGTCCTCGATTTTAACAATGTGGCCGTCTGGTAGTGATTCTCTCTATATATTTGTATCTGCGTGAGTTTGTGTGTGTGTAGATCATCTGTGAGATGACTGTACCAGTCCAGATGATAAAAAAAATATTATGAAAGGGGCTGATGCTTTGAGGACACTTCGTCTCACTTTGCTTTTAAAACTCGCAATATATTTCTAATGTCAATATCGCAACAATAATTTGATAATGCTGATGAAAATTTTGAAGCCTCAACCAAATATTACATAAAATAATAAAATGTTAAATAAAATAATAAGTAACAATATAAGTTGAAGAAAAAATCGAGTGAAAATAAATGGTGGAAAGAATTCTAAAAGAGGAAGAAAAAAAGTTCAATATTGCTGGCACCAACCTGGTGATATTTTGCATATTTACAACTTCTTTTACAGAAGATCAACCAGTCTTGGTACCGGTGACTGTTGTGTGCGACTGAGAAACGCTGAAAATGAAATATGTTAAACCTTTGACCAACAAGACGTAGTCATTGTCACGGGTAAACGATAGTCTAGGAAAAGAGAGACAAGAAAGAAAGAAAAAGTGAAGACAAGCATAAAAACAAGTTATGTCAATAAGGCCAAATGAAAAAAGGATGAAAAGTTATCCTGAAAAACAAGGCGAAAAAACGAGAATAGGAAAGAGTAATAATGTAAAAACATCTGCATTGGTCAATGATTTAAACGCTCTTTGAAATACAATGTACATGCTTGACATTTTATGCAATAAACTGCAATGACTCACGGTCAATGTCCTTGTTATTGTAATCAGCAAAGAAGGACAGAAAGAATGAGAAAAGAGGGAAAAGAAAAATCATAAAATAGAGAGAAAGAATAAATAAGAGGAAAAATTAAAGCAATAGATAAAAGGAGAAAGATATTGTAAAATGAAACGAGAATAAGAAAATAGTGATAGTGAAATAAAGAAAAATGAAAGGAAAGATTAAAACATTATATAGAAAAGGAAACAGGAAGGAGAAAACATAGCAGCAACAGAAAGAGAAAGGATTAAAGAAGAAGAAGAAGAAGAAGAAGAAGAAGAAGAAGAAGAAGAGGGATATTCTCGTATATATAGTGGGGAAAATGAATGAAAAACAAATAAGGGAAATGGGAGATACTGATGATGACCAAAGGGGCCAAAAAAATGGGGACGGAAAGAGAGAGAGAGAGAGAGAGAGAGAAAGAGAGAGAGAAAGAGAGAGAGAATGGGACAGAGAGAGAAATAGAGTGGGAGAGTGACAGAAAACGAAAATAGTAATAAAGTAAAATAAAAAAAAATAAAATGATAAAAAAGATAATCATAAAAAAGAGAAACAGAAATTCTTCAAAGCTAACAATGAATATTTAGAATGCGAACAGATAAGTAAAGATAGAACGAGAAAAAGTTTAGAAAGTAAAAGAGTCAGAGAAAGAGATCGAGAGGAAGAGAAGCTGGGGAGAGAGATAGAGAGACGGAAAGAAAGATTAATTGAGAAGAAAAGATGGAGAAGAACTGGAAGAAATGGAGTAAGATGAAGATAAATGGAAGGAGATTAACTGAAATATATATATTATTTCTTAATCCGTATGAATAATAAATAATATGAATATAAATCCAGAGAGAGCTGAATGTGAAAACAGAGTAAATAATAATTATATATATGTTTGTTCCTATATATGTATGTAAAGATTTTCCACGCGTAGCTTAGATGTGGCACAAGGCTGAAAGCATGGGGCATCCATGGTAGGTTTGTCTGGCTCACTAGGTGTCTCTTGGTCTGCTCTACGGTTGTATTGAGCTCTTTTGTTAGTTCGTTTTTTACTCGTATCGGTTTTTTTTCTTTGGGCTTCAGACCTGCATCTGTGCGATTTTTTTGTCGGCAGAAGTTCATGTTTGTAGCTCTTTCTTTTTTTAAAACACTTTTTTCCCTCGGGATTGATTTGATTATTAGCAAATCAAAAATTCGAGTATAGTTATCTATATTTGTATATATATATATATATATATATATATATATATATATATATATATATATATATCTGTATGTATGTATGCGTATGTATATGTTTCTATGTGGGTATGTGAGTATGTGTGTGTATATCTACACGTATATATATATGTGTATGTTTGTATTTATATGTATATGTGTGTGTGTATATATGTATATATATACACCATTATTTGTGTGAATGTATGGGTATTTGTGAATATATTTATGTGTTTATACAAGGTAACCAAAAAAGTTCTGTCCGTTTTTTGATTAGTCATTGAATGAAGTTGAAATATATACGAAATGCGTGTAGCAATTGTTTTCAAATTCGGACAGCCGGAAGTAGGAACATCAGACGTTATAAAAAACACGCGCACCACGCCCGGCCATCAGTTATAAGCTGGACAGCTGTGAGAAGGATGGAAATGTCTAAAGATCTCGTTCGGGCTGTTTGCATTACGACTTCAAAGTGGGCTTATCAGCAGCTTCATCAAGTCGCCGCATATGTCAAGCGTTTGGGGATAGTGCTGTGGATGAACGTACTGCAAGGCGTTGGTTTCGAAAATTCAAGTCGGGAGATTGGTCTCTCCATGATGAGCCTCGCAGTGGACGACCACAGGTCTTGAATGACGGAGTCCTGAAGGCGGCCATTGAAGAGGACAGTAGTCTAACGTGTGGTGAACTTGCAAGACAGTTCAACGTTTCCGATGAAACAGTTAGACTTCACCTGCACCGCGTAGGTAAGACGTACAAACTGAGCAAATGGGTTCCGCAAACGCTGTTGGAGGTCCACAAGGGATAACGAGTGGCAGCCTGCGTATCGCTGCTTTCTCGCCACCGTACCGCATCCTTATTCAATCGAGTGCTTACCAGTGATGAAAAGTGGGTTCTGTACGAAACTCCCAAGCGTTCCAGACATTGGTTGTCTCCTCAGGATGCTGTCACCTCACACCGCAAAACTGCCTATGTACCCAGGCAAGATTATGCTTTGTGTCTGGTGGACAGGTCGTCAAGTAGTTCATTATGAACTGCTACCAACGGTCCAAACGGTCACTGGAGACCTATACTCGCAGCAATTGAAATTTGTGCAACAGGCATTGCGCCAGAAAGAGCCAGCACTGGTGAATCGCAAAGGTGTACTTTTCCTCTATGACAACGCCAAGCCGCATGTCGCGCGAGTGGTCAGGGATACCATACAGCAACTTGGGTGGGAGACTTTGTGCCATCCACCTTATTCACCTGACCTTGTGCCATTCGATTACCACCTCTTCCACTCCCTGGATAATCATCTTCGTGGGAAATCCTTCACCAATGAAGCAGCCCTCACGGATTTCTTTGCGTCAAAAACCCCCGAGTTCTACCGCAAGGACATTGAACAGCTGGAGACACGTTGGCAGAAGGTGGTGGATGCCGATGGCGATTACTTCGAAGACTAAATATAAGTTACACATAAAGTGAAGTGTTTTGTTTTTTTCCTTTAAAAACGGACATAACTTTTTTGGTTACCTTGTAGTATATATTTGAGTGAATATAGAATTTGTGTATACATTTATTTGTAGGTGTATATATGTATATATATATGTGTGTGTGTGTGTGTGTATATATGTATATGGGTGTTTATGTGTGGATATATATATGTGTGTTTGTGTATGGGTGTATTTGTGTGTGTATATATATTGATTTTTATATTGTTTGCATAATTAGACATTCTGTTTTTGGTGTAGGTGTTATGTTCGTAATCTATATGCTCAGAATTAGAAGAGATATATAAGTGTTCTGAATATGGTACCATATATGCATGGCATTTATGTGTGCTTATATGTTTTTAGACGTATATTAATTATTTGCCTTATGTAACTATATAATTGCATATTTTTCTTCGTAACTTCTTGTTTATTTTACCTTTATTCTGTTATTATTATTATTATTTTTATTTTCTTTGATTTCTGGCGTTTACACATTTCTTTCCGGGTCCCGCCCAGGGACCTAAGGTTAGAAATGGCGTCATGACACTTTCCACTGATAAACCAAAAAAAAATAAATTAAATTACATAGATAAAGCCCTTCGTAAGGTGTGGGCTGTACTTGTCAGAACAATTTTTTGTATCTCCTTGAGGCATGGACTTCCAGGAATCCCTTCAGTTAGTCTACTGCAATCTTTTCCAACCAGTCCTAGGACTCCAACTACAACAGGGATTGTTGATGTTCCCATATGCCACATTTTCGAGATTTCTATTTCAAGGTCCTATTTTGACAACTTTTTGAATATCTTCAAAGATACATTGCAGTCAGCAGGGACTGCCATGTCAATAAGGAGGCACCGTTTTCGTTTGTGTTCTTTAATAACAATATCTGGCCGGGTGGCCTTGATTGTTCTGTCAGTGTGTATTGTGTAGTCCCATAGAATTGTAACAGGTCCTATCTCCGTAACCGGGTCTGGGTGGTGTTCATACCAGTTTCTTTCAGTTTCCTTCCCGTAGAAGTTGCAGATTTTCCAGTGCAGATATTGGCCCACTCTGTCATGTCGGGTTTTATATTCAGTGGGTGCCAACACCGTGCAACCTGATACAAGATGATCAATCGTTTCTGGATATTTATCACAATATTTTAGTATATGTGCTTGATAATTCCTAATTAGCAAGCATTGGTCCTGCGCAGCAAGGATAAAACCTTCTGTTTCCGCTTTCAACCCTGCACTACGTAGCCACTGATGGGTACGGGTTTTGTCTACGTCAGCTTGTTTGGTACGGGCAGAGTATTGGCCATAAAGCGGTTTATCTTGCCATCGCTTCTATATCTGGTCGGTTGCATTCGTCTTTGCTGTCTTTTTTAGGTATTTTACAGTTTCAGCCGGTGTATTGTGCTGTAGTTGCATGTCTACGCCCATTTGAAACTCCATTTTGAATTTGTTGGCTTCTTTCATTACGGAGTAGAGACGCTTACTACTTTCATGTTCCTTGACGCATACCAACATCCAGTCTTCTGTAGTTTCCAAATATCTTTAGAGGCCAATTGTTGTAGTTTTGTAGGGCAGTTCTAGTTGAACTAATCCTCTGCCTCCTTCGGATCTGGGCACATACAGACGATCAACATCAGCTTTGGGATGATGCATGCGATAGCAAGTGAGTAGCTTTCTTGTTTTGGCATCCATTCGCTTAATTTCAGCTATGGTCCAGTTAAGGACATTAAAGCTGTATTGCACCACAGTGACAGCCAATGTGTTTATGGCTGATATCCTGTTTTTTGAGTTTAGCTCAGTATTTAGTACCAGACGTACACGCCTGTAGTACTCTTTTCTTATTTTTTCCTTCATTTGGGGGTGTTGTATGCCATCTCCTTCGCTAATTCCTAGGTACTTATAAGCTTCATCATGCTCCAGTTCCCTAATCTTTGTGACAAAATCTAAATCTATTAAGGGTGTTTTTGTAATTCTACCTTTCTTGAAAGTTACTTTTGCACATTTATCTAATCCGAAGTCCATACCTATGTCGTCACTGAAGTATTTTACAATATTGAGGAGGCCTTTGAACTCATTGTCGTCTTTGGCAAAGAGTTTGAGATCATCCATGTAGAGTAGGTGATTGAATATTTTCTTATCTATTTTGTAACCATAGCTACTGTTGTTCAGTTCATGTGTAAGAGGAATTAAGGATAAACAAAACAGATGGGGTGACAGAGAGTCTCCTTGAAAGATTCCACGTCGGATATTCCGACGGTTGGATATGGCAGTGCCCCCGGTGTGACTAAGGTATAGTTTGGTGTTCCACATTCCCATGCTGTGCTTAAGGAAATTTAATACCACAGGGGAGACTCTGTACATTTCCAAAGTCTTAAGGATCCAAGAATGTGGAACACTATCAAAGGCTTTACGATAATCAATC